CCAGACAGGGGGGTTTGAAAGAGGAAAATGAACCAAGCCTGGGGGCAGGCCGGGGAGCTCAGCCCGCCTTGCACACATCTGTTTTTATTTATGATTTTTTAAAAATATATTTGTATGTTTCAGAGAGGGAGGGAGAGGGAGAGAGAGATAGAAGCATCCATGATGAGAGAGAATCACGGATCGGCTGCCCCCTGCACGGCCCCTACTGGGGATGGAGCCTGCAACCCAGGCCTGTGCCCTGACCGGGAATTGAACCGTGACCTCCTGGTTCCTAGGTTGATGCTCAACCCCTGAGCCACGCCGGCCGGCCGGGCGAAACACACCTTCAATTTTGTAATGTTTTCCAGGAGAAGAATAGACATGAACTTCGCATGCCCGTGAGCTCACTGCGTGTGACTGCTGCGGGCTTATGTCACCAGCGCAGGAACGCACATCCACTCCATTGCCTGCGCTCGCCTGCACAGATGTTCGGTGCGTTGATGGTGGATGGCTTAGGCTGCTGATACTCCCGATAGGAGAGCCTTTCCGGGGCCGACCGGGTGCAGTCAAGACCGCCAAACGCTCTCTTAACAACAGCATGTGTTCGATGCCGGAAAGGTCACCACAGACTAGCTGGTGGCTCCGTCCGTGTCAGACACTCTCACCCCTTGGCCACTGGCGCCCTCCTGTGCTGGGGACATGGGGCAGCTCAGGCGGACACCAGTGTGACCCCACGGAGGGCGGGAGGTGGCTCACTGGTACCCAGGCCCCCACCTGGATGTGTGGCTAGAACAGCCGTGGGCAAACTACGGCCCGCGGGCCGGATCCGGCCCATTTGAAATGAATAAAACTAAAAAAAAAAAAAAAAAGACCGTACCCTTTTATGTAATGATGTTTACTTTGAATTTATATTAGTTCACACAAACACTCCATCCATGCTTTTGTTCCGGCCCTCCGGTCCAGTTTAAGAACCCATTGTGGCCCTCGAGTCAAAAAGTTTGCCCACCCCTGGGCTAGAACGTAACTCCACGTGGGAACGGAAAACTACATCCTTATATCCCATCGGGGGCAGGGCTGGAGAGAGGCAAACCAGATACCCAAGGCTCAGAACTCCAGGGGTGCTCACTCTCAGGGTCAGGCCAGGGCAAAACGGGCCCCCCTACATTTTGTTCCCACGGCGTCTCCCTTACCTCACTCTAGTCCTGGCCCTGTATCCGTCAAACCCTAAGGAACTGATCTCCCCCAACCTTGCCCCCCACAACTTCACTTTCCTTGGCTGATCCCTAAAATAAACACGACACCGCCACTTCAAAGCCACTGGATAGGAGGGGACACCGGAGAGGAAAGAAGCAATGAACCTAACTGGCGGTGATTAAACTATATTGTTTTATCATATTTACAAATCATAACCATATGTCCACATGGCTAGGGCTCCCGGGACTTGGCGGCGGGGGGGGGGGGGGGGAGGTTTCTCTGCAGGCGAGGGATTCGAGATTCAAGCAGGCAGCCTTCTGGTAAACCCGTCCCTGCATTCGGACCACGGCCATCCTCCAGGTCTGAGTTCATCACAAGGGCTTATTGTTGCTTTCAGGGCTTTAAGAGGGTAGGTTCTGGCCATAGCCGGTTTGGCTCAGTGGAGAGAGCGTCAGCCTGTGGACTGAAGGGTCCCCAGTAGGATTCCTGGTCTAGGGGCACCCTGGGTATTGGGGCTTGATCCCCAGTAGGGGGCGTGGCGGGAGGCAGCCCATCCATGATTCTCTCTCTTCCTCTCTGACATCAAGAAAAAAAATATATATATGTATATATATATTTTTTTATTTTTATTTTTTTAAAAAGAGGGTAGGTTTACCCGGCCGACGTGGCTCAACATTTGAGCATCAACCCAGGAACCAGGAGGTCGCCGGTTCGATTCCGGGTCAGGACACATGCCCAGGTTGCAGGCTCGATCCCCAGTGGGGGACGTGCAGGAGGCACCCAATCGATGACTTTCTCTCTCATCGATGTTTCTATCTCTCCTTTTCCCTTCTTTTCTCTCTAAAAAATCAAGAGAAATATTTTTTTTTCTAAAAAAAGAGGGTAGGTTCTGGAGCTGGACTAGTTAGGTTTGGAACGTGGCACTACCACTTCCCAGCGTGTGGGATCGATTTTCTCACCTTCCACCCGTAGAACGGGCACAAGGGATGTTCATTAGAGGAATTGGTCCGTGCGGCGTGCTTGCAACTGTGTCCAACATGGATGAGCGCCTGTCCTTTTTAGTATTCGTTGTAGCGTCAGTGTTTGTGTTGATAGTATGTGCGTCTCACACACCGCAACCCCCAAGCCACGCTTCCCTGTTTTCTTTTCACTTCATCTTTGTTGTTGAGTGTGACCGATGACCCCCGCCTCTCTGCTTTCTTTTTCTCTTTCTTTTTTTAAATACTTGCCTTTTTAATGGAAGTTCTCTGCTTTCTGAATGGACTGCTCACTGCGTGGAAGAGAAAGTAGACAGGAAGTTGTCAAAGGAAAGAATGGTGTGTTTTTTTCCAGATAATATTGTCACCAGATTACAGTGAAGGAAGTGAAGGGATTGGACTATAAAGAAAGGCGCTGCTTCACGGCCGCGAAAGGGAAAGTCAGATCGATGAGCGTTAAACAATGACCTTCATCCTTCTGCTCCCACGTGGAAAAAGAAAGAGTACATTATTTTAGAAGAAGAAAATAATCATACGATTTTTTTAAAAAAAAAAAAAAAAACACACACACACGCACGATGTACTTAAAAAAAAAAAAGGTTCCACCCGGCCGGGTGGCTCAGTGGTTGAGCAGCGACCTATGACCCAGGAGTCAGGGCAGGTGCCCGGGTTGCGGGCTTGATGGTGCAGGGGCAGCCGATCCATGATTCTCTCTCATCATTGATGTTTCTCTCTCTATCTCCCCCTCCCTTCCTCTCTGAAATCAATATAGATATAGATATAGATATAGATATAGATATAGATAGAGATAGAGATAGAGATAGATATAGAGATATAGATATAGATATATAGATATAGCCTGTTAATTCAGCCTCCTTCAGACCACATGTCCCCACAGACCCTTCACTGCCCCCCGTGAGTGGAGCGCTGTGGCGGGCGAGGGGCCCCCAGCACAGGGTCCGATGAGATGGGAGGTGGGGCGCACGGGGGCGCGGGGAGCAGGAGGGGACGCGGGCTTCTCGCCCACGTGGGCGGGTTGGGGGGTGCGGGCGGTGTCCCTCTCGGCGTCGGGAGGGACCTGCTCTGAAAGGG